TTACACAATTGATGTGTGTATGGATTGGGATAACAGTTGTATGAGCCCCTAATAAAATGTTAAAAAAAAAAAAGTCAGTTTATTATGGGCTCTTACAGCTCTTATAAAAATGTATCAACTGTATCAAGCACATTTGTACATTTGTTGCCAACATCATTTTTGAAACATTTTCTACTTAAGCTCTTAGTACCAGCTCCTCTTTTTCCCCCTCCCTCCCATCTTTTGAGTTTTTGACTGTTGATTTCATGGGTATCAATTGTGGATCCAAGTAAAACAAAATGAAATCCTTGACATCAAGCTTTTCTCCTGCCCTTAGGATGTTTATAGTGTAGATGGGAATGTTAAGGCACAAGTAATATACTTTTAAAGAAAATAGCAACTGTCAAAGAGGAGGCAGAAGGTTCTTTGAGGCACAGATTGGCAAAAAGAATACCTTTTTTTGGTGGACACCTGTAGGAAGGTGGCATCCAACTAGCCTAAGAAGATAAAGAGGGTATAGAAGTATGCAATTGGGCTGGGGGTAAGTACCAAAGAAATTCTAATCAGATGGATAGTAGAACATAGCCCTCATTCCACCTTTTTTTTAAATTCTAGAATGGACTCAGATCATCACTAAGTATCTATGGGAACAGCTCCAGAAGATGTCTGAATACTATCGGCCAGGGCCTTCAGGAAGTAGCAGCTGTGCTTCCACTATTGGACCTTTGCCCCATGATGTAGAGGTGGCAATCCGGCAGTGGGATTACAATGAAAAGCTGGCCATGTTCATGTTTCAGGTAGGGAGTAGGGAATGTAGTATGGGAGGCATGGGACTGAGCTTTCGTTTTCCTCTGCTGGTATATGAAGGGGGTACCTCCCAAAAAACAACCAACCAAAAAATGGAAAAAAGGTTCCACTAGACAGAGTTTTTGTAATACACATTTTTCCCCGCTAGGCGAGCTTCCATAATTTGCTCTGAGTTAGTGCACCCAGTGGCCTCACCTGGGAAGGTTCTCTCTGGTCAGAGTGAATTCTCCCCCAACCCCCAACCCCCAGTCACAATGAATTCTTTTGTAAAAGCAGTTTCGCTCTAACCTCGTTTTGGTTTTTTTTTTTTTGATGGCTGATTTAAGTGTGCAGCTTGTGAAATTTTGTTACCTGCTCTGGAAAAGTTCCGCAAAAACGGTTGTGATGTTGAACACAGCTTTCAAGAGCATTGCTATAGGAGAAACTCAAGTGTACGAGTGGTTTTCTTGTTTCAAAAAGGGTGAAATGTCAATTGATGACCAATCTCATTCTGGACGTCCGTCCACTTCCCAAACGGACAAAAATGTCACCCTGTAGTGCATTTGGAGTTCGTTCCATCAGGTCAGATTGTTAATCAAGCTTTCTATTTAGAGGTTCTAAAAAGATTGCGTAACAATGTGTGACCAAAAAAGGCCTGATTTGTGGCAGATGTGGGACTGGTTTTACCACCACGATAATGCACCTGCTCATGCAGCCATCTCAGCGTGCCTGTTTTTGGCAAAAAACTGCATGCCTCTCTTGCCCCACGCACCTTACTCACCTGACCTCGCTCTGTATGACTTCTTTTCCCCCCCACAAATGAAGAGTGATATGAAAGGACAGTGATTTGACAACATAGAAGTGGTGAAGAAAAAAAAACGAGGGAGGTGCTATCAGCCATCCAAAAAGATGAGTTTGAAATATGTTTCCAAGAATGGAATCATAGATTTGACAAACGTATTAAGTGTAATGGAGAGTACTTTGAAGGTGATAAGGTTGTTTTATAAAACAATTTAAGTACATCACTTTGAAAAAAAATTCCTTTTTTTTTGGCCGGGGCGGGGGGGGGGGTACCCCCTTGTAGACAGAACCAGCCTGCCACCTTTCCCTATTGTGGTTGCATTCATCCTTTCAGTTAGTTTACCTGCCTCCTCTCCAGGATGAACTAATAATCCTTTCAACCCTGGTACTCATAGGATGGAATGCTGGACAGGCATGAGTTCCTCACCTGGGTACTGGAGTGTTTTGAGAAACTTCGCCCCGGGGAAGATGAATTGCTTAAACTGCTATTGCCCCTACTACTTCGGGTAAGGCCCAAGGACTTGGAGGGGCCCATGGAGGCCGTGAGGGATAAACTTTAGAGCAGTTTCCTTTGGAAAGAACTCGAAGTACTGATTCTTATGTCTTCGCAGTACTCTGGGGAATTTGTTCAGTCTGCATACCTCTCCCGCCGCCTTGCCTACTTTTGTACCCGGAGACTGGCCTTGCAACTGGATGGCATGAGCAGCCACTCATCTCATGTTATGTCTGCCCAGTCAACGAGCACGCTGCCTACCACCCCAGCTCCTCAGCCCCCAGCCACCAGCACACCGTCTACACCCTTTAGTGACCTCCTTATGTGCCCTCAGCACCGGCCTCTGGTTTTTGGCCTCAGCTGTATCCTCCAAGTAAGTACTGGGTGGGTCCAAGAAGGTATTAAGAGGTGTCCTGAGAAGCGTTGGATGCCCTTCGTAGAAAATGAGGGAACTGCAAGTTGGAAGTAGAAATGTGCTCTGATTACTTGCCTGGAGATGGTTTGTTCTCATTACTGAGGTTTTCCCTTCCTTTATGGCAGTGGTTCTCCCCCTTCCTCATGCCGCGACCCTTCCATACAGTTCCTCGTGGTGTGGTGACCCCCCTCCCCCAACCAGAACATTATTTTCGTTGCAATTTCATCACTGTCATTTTGCTACTGTTATGAATCAGGAGACCCTGTGAAAAGGTCGTTCGACCCCCAAAGGGGTCGTGACCCACAGGTTGAGAACTGCTGCTTTATGGGGTTCGGGGCAACATTTTCCTGCCAGGGCTAAAATTGTAGCCCCAAAGCCATTTTAGGGAAGTGGGTAATCAGAGGAGGTCAGGGATACAGTTCTCCAGGAACTCAGAAAAATCTTGGGTTCAAAATCAAAGTAAAGATTCTTGTAAATGGGATTCTACAGAAGTCACCATTGTAACTGAGTTTGATTTAGCTGTTTCTGTCTGGCAGACCATTCTCCTCTGTTGTCCTAGTGCCCTGGTTTGGCACTATTCACTGACGGATAGCCGAATTAAGACTGGCTCACCGCTTGATCACCTGCCTATTGCCCCTTCCAACCTGCCCATGCCTGAAGGCAATAGTGCGTTCACTCAGCAGGTAAGTTTGACCTGTCAGCCTGTACTCCCAACTAACCTAAGAAGATGAAGGATATGAGGATTTGGATATGAGGCTAATTACACTTTCAAAAATCGTGATTTGAAGTCTGGCAGTGTTTTTTCAGCCTTGAACTTTGGTCTTTTGTTTGCCTTTGCTCTCGCTGCCATCCAGTCGGTGCTGACTCATGGTGGCCCCCTGTGGGTTTGCGAGACTGTCACTGTTTGTGCGAGTACAAAGCCCAGTCTTCCTCTCGAGGAGCTCTCGGTGGTTTCAAACTGCCGACCATGCAGATTGCAGGCCGACACATAACCACTACGCCACCAGGGCTCCTTTGTTTGCCTTGGCATGTCCTTAAAGACGTCTTTTTTGATATTGCAGGTCCGTGCAAAATTGCGGGAGATTGAGCAGCAGATCAAGGAGCGAGGACAGGCAGTTGAAGTCCGCTGGTCTTTCGATAAGTGCCAGGAAGCCACTGCAGGTGTATACCTGGGGACAGAGTAGGAAGGATGCTTAGGAAAGGATGAGGGTGGTAAGGACCTACAGGCATGAGCATAGAAATGCTTTGAGCCCCTAGAAAGTTCCTTTAACTACTTTCCTCTCTAGGCTTTACCATTGGCCGGGTGCTTCACACTTTGGAAGTGCTGGACAGCCACAGTTTTGAGCGCTCTGACTTCAGCAACTCTCTTGACTCTCTTTGTAACCGAATTTTTGGATTGGGACCTAGTAAAGATGGGCATGAGGTAAGCAAGAAGGGAAGTGGGAAGAGTAAACAAGCATTACGCAAGTAACAGAGGAGCTGTCAACGGAGTGCATGATTAAGTGATTAAATGAGGGGATGTTTGAGGAGATGATGTTACTGGACCCAGGATCCATTTTGTGTGTTCACTAGTACAACTTCTGCATCTATAATTCAATGGTATTGATTATCATGGGGTGTTTTCAGATGGAAAGTTACAGAGATTGAAACTGGGTTCTTTGTCATTACCTGACTCGTCCCTGTCTTTATTTGGTCCAGATCTCCTCAGATGATGATGCCGTGGTGTCGCTACTTTGTGAATGGGCCGTCAGCTGCAAGCGTTCTGGTCGGCATCGTGCTATGGTGGTAGCCAAGCTCCTGGAGAAGAGACAGGCGGAGATTGAAGCCGAGGTTAGGGAGGCAGGGAAACTATAGTAAGATGGGCCAAAAGGAAGGAATTTAATTGGAGTCCAAGACAGAAATCACTGTGGTGGCGGGACCAAAATTGAAATTGTGAGAATGAAGAAGTAGTAGAGAAACTAAAGGAGAAGTTAGGGCTATAAGACACAGAGAGGAGTGGTTTGTCAAAGTTAGAGAAGAGATCAAGGCTCGTGTCGTTGAGAGATGGTAGAGAACATGAAGGTCAAAGGGAACTGCAAGTTAAAATTCTGACAGTGGAGGTGAAATGGGGTGGGTGGTTCAAGGTTGGTGTATTGAGTAGAGACAGTGAGACACATAGCAAGCCTCCAATGTATTCTTTCTTCTTGCAGCGTTGTGGAGAATCAGAAGCCGCAGATGAAAAGGGTTCCATCGCCTCTGGCTCCCTCGCTGCTCCTAGTGCTCCGATTTTCCAGGAGGTCCTCTTGCAGTTTCTGGATACGCAAGCACCCATGCTGAGTATGAACTCTTGCCACCCTCTAGTTACCCCTGCTTAGACACAACTCCCTGTCACAACTGTCAGAAAGTCTACGTGAGGATCTTCTGGTATATATCAAAAGAGCCCTGGTGGTCTAGTGGGTTACGGGTTGGACTGCTAACCCCAAGGTCAGCAGTTCACCTCCACCATGGGAGAAAGATGAGGCGTACAGTCTTAGAAAGCCACAGGAGCAGTTCTCCTCTGTCCATACAGGGTCAGTCATATAGGGTGAGTCAGCATCAACCTGATGGCAGTGAGTCTGGGTTCTGTGGGAGGAGTGAGTTCAGATATAACGCCAGTCCCTGAGCATCTAACGGTTTAACAGAGTAGGGAGACTAAAAGGAAGAATAAAAGTCAGAGCATGTGACTGAAGCTTTTTCACTGTATACATGGTAGCAAAGATTAGGGTCCTTGTAACATAACCCACCAGGTTAAACCACGCTTTGACATTCAACTTTTTTGTGATGCTCCCCC